TTTGTTTTCAGAATTGTGATTTGCTTTGCACTTATCGGCCACCGTATATGACCCCTTTAACCACATGGAAATTTTACTGTTTGTGGGCGGGCAAGTTGGCGACGTAGAACTTGGCAGACATTATGCAAATGTGTTACTTCTTGACGTAGAGCCGTAACAGAATAAGATTCAAATTCCTGACGACTCGTTTAGGCGATTACGAGCCGACTCTTTTTTTTGATAGACAACTTTATTTATCATGCACTGTCGGCTTCACAACTTTGTAAATAGTTTATGTTCACATACAGCTACATGACAAACTGCATGAAAGGTAATATTCAAAAAGGCATAGTAGGGGCACTTTAATACAATCAAATTGAAAAAAAAAAAGTAATTTTTGTTTCTGTTTCTGCCCAGAATTTTCATTTTGGTGCATCACTTACTATAACTGTAGCACATGCACATTAAATATAAAACTATTAAAGCAAAGAACTGTGGGAATCTGATATGTTAACTAACATACACAATTACTGGTGTAGATTTTTTTTCTTGTACTAAGTTCCCCTCCTGAGAATCGGAGCAAAAATCATGTCGAGCACCTCGATCGGTCCCGATGTTCGGCGAGGATTATCTGGTAATGTGAGGCATTCACCGATCGAATCTTGCACCTCCCGATCTGCTCGCACACAAATCGGGGCTGCCCCGATCATATCAAACATGTTTGATATTTAGGATTTAAATCGGGATGATGACGGCTATATGATTACGTCAGTACTCTCACAATAGCCAATGCACTTTAGAATTTAAATCGGGATGATGACGGCTTTGATTACGTCAGTACTTTCACAATAGCCAATACGAAACAAGTCTACGAGGAGACGGAAGTGACGAACATTTTGAAATGGCGACCGCGAAACCTGTTGTACGTACCCGTTGGACTTCGGAGATGGAGGAGCAACTTGTTGAGATGTGGCAACAACATGACTGCCTATTTAATGTGTCATCAAAGCTGTACCACAACCGTAGCGATAAGGAGAAGAGCTGGGGAGAAATCGCGTCACTTTTAAACGTACCAGGTGAGTATTGAAAGCTGCTAGCGCTGACAGGCTAGCAAATGTAAACAAACTGTTGAAGCATCAGTGACCATCTGCTACATGTCTGTCAAAAGATAAGGTAGCAATGTATCAGTATCAAACGTCCACAACCCTCCACAACTTCTCAAACACTCACACAAACACAATCCCCTCTCTCTCACACACACTCACACAAAGACAATATCCTCAATCTTTCTTTTACACACACACATAAGTTACAGTCCACTCTCAACAAAACATAAACTACGTCTTTATGAGCTCTATAATTATTTGTACATTTTGAGAAAAAATATTTCAAGGGACATTAAAAGTTTATTATAGTCCAGTGGTTCTCAAACTTTTTATACCAAGTACCACCTCAGAAAATATTTGGCTCTCCAAGTACCACCATAATGACCAACATTAAAATACAGTAGTAGGCCTAACTATTCAGCTACAGCTCTGCACAGTTAAAAAAACAGGCAGTTTTATTCCTAATTAGAATATTTATTGTTTTAGCCACTTTAACATTGTAAATACACAGTTTGAACATTAACACTGCACAGTGCTTACAAACAGGTAAAAAAAAAAACTTAAATAATGATTCAATTAAAATGTGTTGTAACTAAAAATACCAAAAAAACTGTACTGTACTTAAATGTAAAAAGAAAAAAAAAGTACTCAAAAAAAGATTTAATTAAAATATATTGTGTTTTAACATCAACTTATATTTAATTTAGTGATTCCTCTGCATACCACTAGAGGGAGCCTGAGTACCACCAGTGGTACTCCTACCACACTTTGAGAACCACTGTATGTAGCCAGCCCATTTATATTTTAATAATATTAATTCAGCTGAATGTAGAGAGGAGACTCTGAGTGTCAATGTATGTGTATTGTATATTTTCAGTGGAAGACGTTAAGATGAGAGCAACAACCTTAAGGACTCGGTTCACAAAACTTCTTAAACCCAAACCTAGCAGCAGTGGAGAGAAAGGTTTAACACAGAAACAGAGATGGCTTTTAAGCAGCTTGGAGTTTCTTAAGAAACATGTTGCCCAACGCCCCTCTGAGACCAGTGTTAGCATGCAATATTATGGACAGGCATGACTTGTGATATTGTGTCTTTTATAAGTACTGTAGTCCACTAGAGGGAGCCTGAGTACCACCAGTGGTACTCCTACCATACTTTGAGAACCACTGTATGTAGCCCATTTATATTTTAATAATATTAATTCAGCTGAATGTAGAGAGGAGACTCTGAGTGTCAATGTATGTGTATTGTATATTTTCAGTGGAAGACGTTAAGATGAGAGCAACAACCTTAAGGACTCGGTTCACAAAACTTCTTAAACCCAAACCTAGCAGCAGTGGAGAGAAAGGTTTAACACAGAAACAGAGATGGCTTTTAAGCAGCTTGGAGTTTCTTAAGAAACATGTTGCCCAACGCCCCTCTGAGACCAGTGTTAGCATGCAATATTATGGACAGGCATGACTTGTGATATTGTGTCTTTTATAAGTACTGTAGTAGTCTTCATCATGTATTCACCTTTTTCCTACACCCATGATGTTTTGCATGAATTATGGGAGTAACTTGTGTTAAACTGTAAATAATCAGTGATGTGTTTTAAAAATGGGGTACAATAAGGTAGCATTATTCTCCTCACAGTTCAACCATCAAATATTAAAAAGAAAAATTATTAGATTTAACTAATTACTTTCAGCAGACCTAAAATTGCTGAAATTTGGGGCAGTTGTGGCCTAATGGTTAGAGTCGGACTTGTGCCACTTCAATATTCTCTTCCACCTTCAATACCACGACTTGGGTGAGACCCTTGAGCGAGGCATCGAACCCCCAACTGCTCCCTGGGTGCTGCAGCGTGTGCACTTGGATGGGTGAAATGCAGAGCAAATATTCAGTCTTTCCACAGCAATAATAAGAAAATAATCTGGAGGAAGAGAACACAGTGAACTCTTTTGAATGGAAGTTTCCCAAACCTGAAGTGCAACCCATAATTTAAAATGCAATAGGCACATTTGGAAAAAGGTGGATAATTATTGGGACAATACAGTGAAATTGTTATACAATTGTTTTGGCAGTACTTTGCTGATAGATGGATGGATAAATGTTTGTAAACCTCACTGACATAAAATTATTTTGTTAGCTTGATCAATCTGTGAAAGACTTACTGAGTGAAGGACAGGACATTGATGACACCACCAGTGATGAAGACATTGCAGATACATCTGAGGCACTAGGTAAAATCATAAATGTAGATGTACAAATCTAGAGACAATGACTTGTCATGCATTTTAAATAGTCTAGTTCTTCTATCATTCATTATTAGGATTTGTGTTTATACATGTCACTCATACATCACTCACTGGGGTGTTGGGCAACATGCTTCTTGAAGAGCTCCAATTTTCTCAGCAGCCAAATCTGTTTCAGTTCTCATATTATTACATACTTACCGTGTTTGATCATAATAATTCTAGTCTGTTAGTACTGCACAGGATGGGTTTAGAAAAAAACCATTTTTTTTTTAAATAAGTTAAATAGATGATTTTCGGATAAGGTAGCAATTCATCAATATAAAACATCCACAAACTACACACACATCACACGTGAACATGGCCATTGTCAGAACAATGGAAGACTACTTGCAAAGCAGGTCAGGAGCAATTCATGTGATTCACATTTGTTTTGAAAACCTTCAAAAGTTTACATAATTGATTCTTAATGCTGTGTGTCATTACTTGCATTGTGGTGCTTTCTTGAGTATCAGGGAATGTGCAAGACCTGATGGATTTTTCTGAAGAACAATGAGCAGTTTAACAAACAAGGCAGTTATATATAAAAAAAAAAAAAAAAAAAAAAAACAGTTGTAGATCATGCAAGTGACGACATAGTATTAAGAATCAAGCACAATGATAAAAATTAATTATAATTAAAAGTTTGCAAATACTTTGGCTGTATGCAAGAACATACTTTGATTGAAGTTATTCTAATAATGTTATTATAATTTAATCTTTTATCTCAACCATAGGACCACATACCTCTACCCAGCAAGAGGGTCAAGACCACACCTCCCTTTTTCCCACTCCCAGGCCTGCTTTAAAACGCCGAAAAGCTGACACAGACACTGTTGAGCAACGAAAACTGAAGCTGTTACAACAGATGTCTGCTTCAGTTCTGGCCTCCCCAGATGCCTGCAGCTCTTTTGGAAACCAGGTTGCCGTGGAGCTCAGGTTAATAAAGAATACAAGCCTACAGACCAGGGTAAAAAGAAAAATAATGAATGCTTTGTTTGAGGCCCAGGAGGCTGACCAATCTAGTTCCTCATCATCCTCACACATGCCACCACCCATATATTCCCCTCTCACACCTACACAAATGTCCACATCAACCGCTCTATACACACAGACACCTCAACACTACCATCAGCACATGCCCCCTCAGGGCCCCGTTCAGCCTCAGATGCTAGAATTGGAAGAGTAGTTGCATATAAAAATGCTGTACGTTATACACATGCACGCATTTTCACATACACGTTATTTATTTCTAATTTGTTAATTGGTTACTTTACTCTTGTAATGTATATATATGGCAATGTCAATTTAAGTTGCTGTTAAAACTGTTGTATGTGTTGTTCAAAATGAAAGTTTTGAATGAATGAATGTTTTCAAATATTCAGTTGGCACTTTAATCCTTTATTTTGGAAATACTTGAATAAACAACTGAAATGTGATCATGAATGCTGTCTTTATTAAAAAAAACTTGTTATAATAGTTTAAAAAAATGTAAAATATCATCAAAATACAGTACAGCACAATCAAATAGTACAATATTTTAGATCACAACCAACAAATCAATTAACAAAGAAAAATAAATATAAATAATGTAATATGATAACTATGTAAATTACATACATCACTAAACTACAACTAGCAAACACTTCTTTTTGTCCATTGTCTAAATGTATTTTTCTTGCCATGGCACCTGGCCAGCAGGTGACACAGAGTAGTCTTTTAGGAGGTCACGTTGCTGCTTAGCAGCAAGAGTAGGGTTCCGTGACCTTTCAGCTGGCACACATTGCATGGCCCCCAGACCATCTCTCCTCCATGCTTCCTCGTTGACTCTGTGGTCTACATCCTCCCAGTCTGCCAGTGCTGGTGTCATGTAGGCCTCTGAACGGTGATCACAGAGGAAGTTGTGGAGGAATGCTGACGCTAGGGTGATCTTGGTGACACTGTCTGGGTGAAGCAGGACTGTGGAGTGGAACACTCTAAACCTATTGGCGAGAATGCCAAATGCATTTTCTACAACTCTGCGTGCCCGTGAGAGCCGGTAGTTGTAGACCCCTCTGGTTGTGGTCCAGCTGCCTGAAGGGGTAAGGTTTCATAAGGTCTGTTCTCAGAGGATACGCCTCATCCCCCACAAACATATAGGGTAGCACAATATCAGAACCGGGAAGCTTTTCTGGAGGAGGAACATTCAGGAGACCCTGGTCCAGTGCTTTCTTCAGATCAGAATGGGCAAAAAGCCCAGCATCTGAGACCCTGCCCTGAGTGCCAACACTAATGTAAATGAATTTATAATTGGCATCTACAGCTGCCATCATGAGGACTGAAAATCTGCCTTTATAATTGTGCCACATACTCCCACTGTGGGCTGGATATAGATATGTTTGCCATCAAGGGCACCCAGACAATGTGGAAACTGCCATTTCTCCACAAAGTTCTTGGCAATTGCTTGCCATTCCTCCTCTGATTTTGGTGTCTGCAAATATAAAAGCAACTATTAAATCTCAACCTGTACTGAATTTCTAAATGAATTAAAGTCCCCCCTCCCCCCACCACACACACGTTTTTATAACCCTACTTAGCCCACCCATTTCATTGTACAATCAATTGTCCCCAGTCAAGCATACTTATAAATTTAGTTTGTCATTATGAACTATGCTGCTTATCTTCATATTTGTACATACTGAATGTCAGAATTTTTGCTGTTGTGATACTAATGATAAAATATTAAGGATTTCTAACCTTTAGATAATCATCTTTCAAGACATGATGTAGGGCTTCACATGTGTGTTTCACTATATCAGATACAGTAGTAGCGCCAATTCTGTACTGAAAACTCAGTGATTTGTAGGTTTCGCCTTCAGCAGAAGAAAGTTGACATTACTGTAAAATGAAAAACATAAGAGACAACCCTGTACATTTGTTATATATACAAACCTGTTGCCAAGAATCTGAGGGTCAAGGAGAGCCTCTCCCTGGCCGTAATTGCCCGCCTCATCTTGGTGTCCTGTCGGGTGATCAGTGGCTCTACTCTCCCTAGCAGGGTTGCAAACTCATCTGAGGTCATCCGGTGGGTCTCTGACAAATGTGGGATTAAAGTATTAAAATTTTGGCTTTCCACTAAAAACAGTCTCAAGTACAAGAAACCTGACCTGTCCTCCAACTAACGTTATACATGAAAGCAAAAATCACATTTTAAATAAGCTTACCCTTGGGTTAGCCATATTTATTTATAAACATACCCTTTACATAGCCATTTTGAGTCTCTCTAGTAATAATAACAATACTAATAATCATAAGTATAATGCAGATATAGACAGATAGATAGATGGTGTGAAAGAGAGAGATGATTGTGTGTGTGTGTGTGTGTGTGTGTGTGTGAGAGAGAGAGAGGGTTTTAACGGTACTTTCAGTGAATATTTACTGGTCACCACTTTTACAGCTACATGGTATACACACTCCTAATCAGTCCTGTTGCTTAACAATCACATATCCTGTCTCTATATTAGAATATGTAGACACTTTTCTTTATAATAGACATTTCATTCTCATTTTACAGCACAGATCTACACTGCAACAGGTGACAATGTCGCTTTTGAACTAGCCAGCCATTAATGCTATATATAAACGGTAAAAATTCTAGCACACCACCATTAACAGATAGTAATACTGGTAACGTTAATTCTTACCTCCAATTCTCGCTGAAGAACTGGCAATCCATGTTGACCACGTCTCCCCAACCATTTTCTCATCCACAATCGTTTGCTCTTCCGCTTTATTTTTTTCTCGCTACAAACAATCAGTATTGATACAGCAAGTTGTCGCGCTACAGTATCCATTTTGTTTACATCTGCTTTTCCGCGTCTCCTCTAGATCACGTGTGGCGCTCCCTCTGGCATGATAATCTTAATAATATCTTGTAGTGTGTGATGCGCCGCGATTTAAAAATCTTGTAGTGTGTGCATGTTTAAGATTTGAGGGAAGATAATCTGCGAAGATTCTCCTTATGTGTGTGCTGCTGCCAGATTTCATAATCGGTTAGGATTTTTTAAATCCTGTAGTGTGAGCCAGGCTTTAGTTCTTACACTCATGTGTTCTGCTGTCTTGATGATAAGACAGTGGATTTAGTCCCTAATCGTTGTGCTAAACAGAGACTTGCTGCTGCTGGGTTAGGGGAGAAACGTCTTACATTTAAAGGTGTGTAAGGCGTCACGATTACCTTGAATACAGATTTAGTAACACTAATTTTCATTGTTGAAAATGTTATATTGTTATCTCTTTTGTCTTTCTATCTGTTTCAAGAAGACAGTCAAGCCCACATGAATTCAAATAATTCCTTTTTGCTGAGTTTCTAAAACTCAGACAAGGTGGTGGCTTCGAATTGCTCAAAATTGCAGGAACCACTCGAAGTCGCCAACTGACCCTCATTCCATGTCCCAATGAGGGCTACCACATCAGACACTTGAAAGATCCACAAACCCAGATTGGTCATATTCCCCCTTTTTAAGTAAATACTCTCAGACTAGGCCACAATAGCTATGTTTCCATCACCCTGTTTTAATGCGCATTTTGAAGTATCGCATGAGAAACGAGTGATGGAAATGCCAAATTTCAAAAAGAAATCCCTTAATTCTCAAAAAAGTTTTAACACTCGCTTGAGATGGTTTTTGACTTGTGCGAAAAAGGGTTAATGCAAATAATGGGAGATGGAAATGCATTTTGCGAATAAATCCCGCATGAGCGTTCAAAAAAGTCATGTGACTTTGTGCTATGAGACAGCATAACCTGAATAAGCAGCGGACCGATTTGAACCTGACTAACCAGCGGACCAACTGAAATGTTGTCATGGTCATTCTGAAGTGCCCGAGCAAAGTCTGTCGTCAAAGTATTTCTGTATAACTGCCTCCCAGAACGGTCTACCATGACTGCATTCCCAAACAGCTGACATTCACCTCCGAAAGCAAGACCGCATTTATTGTGTTTCGTCTGCTCACTCAAAGGAACAAAGAATTATTATATTCAGTGGCTTCTCTTACTTTTCTTAGTGATATTTAGTGCCAGTTTATCAGGAAGTGACGATTTTGTTCTCTCTGACTCGTTGGATGGAAACAGAGTGCTTGTTCGCAAATGTTTTATGCGATATTCCAAGTTAAATTCACATCTTTGGATGGAGACCCGGCTACAGTAGCCTACATTTTATCTTTGTTTTCAGTGTGGCACGAGAGAGGAAACCCACAACAGATAGGGGTGTCCCTCTATCTGTTCTGACGTTAGCAGCGAGCATAGTGAAGGATGAAGGCAGGACAGTGAGGTCTGTGTCAAAGGACTTTGCCATTTGCCACACAACCCTCTATCGATTTATTAAAAAGAGAGAGAAGCTAGGCCCAGGAGAGGAGGCAAAGGCAGGCTACTGGACTCCCAGGAGGGTCTTTTCTGAACAGCAAGAAAAGAGCCTTGCAGAATACCTAAAAACCACAGCTCATCTATTCTATGGTCTAAGCACCAAAGAGGTAAGCAAGAGAAAGGTATAAAAAAAGTGTATGTAAACAAGAAAGTGTTGAAAGAGGTTGTCTATCAGAGTAAAGCAGAGGAAGGAAAAGTAGTTGGGAAAATAAGACAGAGTGAAGTAAAAAGAAATTATATATTAGAGAAGAATATATTAAACCCTAATCACTGTTTGTTTTAATTTTCTTAAATTTTTCAGGTTAGTCGATTTGCCTTCCAGCTGGCTGTGCATCACCACTGTAATTATCCTGATACCTGGAATGAAAACTATCATGGTTCGGGGTGCCTTCTCGGCTCCTCTTGCTGTATGTGTTGTCCTGTCATTTCCGGCAGCTTATGGTCTGGGCAATCAGTGCTAATCTCACAGTGGGAGCACACAGATCACAAGCTGACTCTCCCCCACCAGTCGCTTATTCCCCCGCTCCATTATATATCTCTGCTTTTCTGTCCTTCATCGTGAGTAGATTGTTATGTCTTTGCTAGTGTTCTGTGGATGAGTGCAAGCATTATTTTTTTACCCTCTGTTCACCTGTGCTTCAGAACTTGTATTACAGAGATCTGGCAGCTCGAGTGGTCCGCAGTCTCTGCCAGCCAGCTCTGGAATCTCCGCTTACCTGAGCAGTATGCCAGCCAGCCGTGACTGGTTCATGGCTTTTATGAAGAGGCAGCCTTGTCTTTCCATTCGGTGCCCACAACCTACCAGTTTACCCAGAGCCACA